AGCAGCATTTAGGGTATTTTATAAAACGAGTTACCAAGGTGATGCTTACAAGTAGATAGGTTATGTAAAGAAACCTAAAGCTACACGAAATCGAGGAGAGTTGTATATTGATATAGATAATATTTCTTTAACTTATCAGACACCCATTCCTATTGACCAAATAAGCACAAAGACTTGATGGATCTTTGTAAGACGCTAGTCTATCATTATCTAGGAGTATCATTTATTTTTTAATAATTTGATTTCAACTAACCCTAATGGCTCTCACACAGCTGATGACAGCGATTCAGACAGTGACTTTTAATTTATTAAACCTTTAAGATTTTCATTTATTTTGTTAAACCTTACAGCTGTTTATTGAGCATTAGAAGTGCCTAGGAACGAATAACATAAATATCTAAAAGTTCTAAAATCTTCCTGTTATGAATATTGTTTAACGTAAGTTACTATATTTAGTTGAAGTATCTACATTAGTTTCTTATTTTATTGATTGTTTGTTGTTTCTTTTTCTGTAAATTTAATGAGACAAGATTGATAATTGGTTTTTGTTGATTTGTTCTTGTATCTTTACTCTTTACTAAGGCTAAATAATGTTCAAAATATGTTCCTACCTAATTGTAGCGAAGAAAAATACATTGTAATTTTATAAAAAGAGTTGTTTGTGTTTATGATTCTTCTGCTTCTTTCTAGCCTTTATTGATTCCATATTTCGTAAGGTCGGCCGCTGGTCTAACCGGTTATTAGCTGAATATCATTTTTCTACGGATCGACTGCCATCTGACCTTCGTAACCCAAAGGGATACCGATATTCGTATGGTTAGACCGGTTGTCAGGATATTAGATAGAAGGCACTGACTTCCCAATAACGACGCCCAGGGATGAAACTCACGACATGGCAGTCGAACGTTCTACCACCAGGCTATAATCGTCACCTCACCTTGTTTTTGATTATACTTATATATTGAAGTTGAATAAACCCATAATTTTTATGTATAGATATTATAATAGAAATCAAATGAGTAATTAAAAAGTCTCGGTGAATTATGTTAGTCCAGTATACGTTGAGGTTTCAAATGCTAACATAGTTAAGTACTTTCCTAGTATAATGAGTCAAGTGATGTAATTTCAACATTTTATTATTCAGTGAGACAGAAAATACCGAAAACAACCAAAAGTAGGATGACGTTATCAAAATGACAATCATATTTCATAATATATTAGGGTAAGCCATAGATTTTGATGTACAACGTACATGAATATAACTGGTAGTTAAACCATTTTACTGTTGAGTCCCGCCGGCGTATACCCAGTCAAGTACATAAAATATCATTTAAAAACCAAAATCAGCAAAATCATTTTATACCAAAGGAAGAGCTTCCATTCCTTATTAAAAAAACATTTAATTTATTACGAACAGGTTTAATTTCATTAAAATATATAACGATTTGCCTTCAAATCGCTCTCCTGTAAAATTACTACAATGTCAGTTGACTCATTATACTTAGGAGGTGTCGATATATATTATTTAAAATGATAACCGATAGCATTAGACTCGACTTCTAAAGAGTTAACATGTCACTTTTACTACACTTTTCCAAGCATCTGTAGGGTTTTTTTTAGCTCATAATAATTAGCCTAAGAAGATGCACTCTCAGAGGATAACGGTGAGCTTTTTAAATAGAATAAATAATGAAATTGTTATTGCAAATTCACATATTGTTCCTTTGACACGTGGAATACATTTTTCATTCAACGTTATAATTATAATTTCATTCAACGTTAGGCGACTTGATTATGTGTTGTTTATAGTATGATATAGATTTGCATACACGATTTGTTTTAGGTTCGTGAATTTCCGTCTTATTATAAAAACTTTCATAAGTACCAGGTTTAAACCAGGACTAAAAGGTCTAAGCTTATTACGGTACTAACGTTAGTTCTTTCATTCTTATTACAAATCGTAGACCAACAAAGGACTACTTAGTACCAAAGATCGTCTCTGGACTAAACATTTCCACAGATTATAAGCAACAAAATATTTAAATTATTCATTCATTCGTTCAGCGTTCTACGCGCCTTTCCTTTTTAACAAAATGTTGTTACGAAATATAAAGAAAAATATTTTATGAATTGTTATTTGTAGGGGTAAAATTTAAAGTTTTGTTATTTAAAGGTATTTAAATATTCCGACTTGTATTTTTTTGAATGCATGTTCACAATCCAATTATTAATGTTATGTTTTGGAACAACTACCGAGCTAGCACGTATGAGTATAACGGAGTGAACTGGACGGCGCGCGTAATTCGAGTAATGTAATCGAAATGTTTATGTTACAACTTAAACTAAAAAAAATGTCCTCACTGTGGTTTCACTTCAAGATTATAGTTACTACAAGTACCTAAGGGCACAATTCTTTGGGCACAGTATTCTTTGTGGTGAGCAAATCGCCGGAAAAAATCGTTCTGTAGAAGAGATAAAGTTGGCTTGGAAGAGAATGAAGTTGGCAGCCAAGGCAAACTTGTCTCTTCACAGGAGAGAGCAGTCTAAAACAGGAGGTGGCAACAAGCCCCCGTCACCTTCTCCAGAGGACCTGGAAGTCATGGCTATTGCTCCTCATGACTTTGTTGTAGACGTGTGACTGTGACAGTGATGCAGTGGTAAGTAAAAGTTAACAATAGTGGAGAGTATAATATGATGACAATTTACTAAACATTTACCTGTTACAGATGACAAATATAACAACAACAAACAGTTGAAGACCCTGATGCTGGCCATAGCTCAATAGAACCAATTGTAGTGATTATAAGTGATGAAAATGTAGAGTCCAGTATTGAAGAAAAACAAGGTATAATAATTTCATAATAAGAAAAATACAGGTTAGTTTCATTAATATTATTTATTATTTTCAGTGATCTACACCAGTGAAACTGTGCAAACAAAAAGTAGTGTAGAAATAGAAGAAAATAAACCAAAAGGGAAAACCGCCTCCCTAAATAGGTTTGTTAAAATAAATGTGATAATACTGAATATATTTTATTTCAATCAAGGAACCACGAAAATATAAATAAAGCTTACCACACTAAAATAATAAGTCAAATTATTACATAATAATATAGAATTTATTTTACAGAAATGAAGAAGGGCGCCAAGCTATTATAAATAGTAATACAGAATTTAAAAAAAAACAGCTTGATATGTTGGAAGCCCAGCACTTCTATCAGGTTGAAATATCCAAATTAAAAATTAAAAAGCTACAGTTACAAATAGCACTATTGGAGACTCAGATAAAAACTAACACCATTACTAAGGAATAGATGCAACTGTCCCTTACCATGCTGTGGCAACTTGTAAGTAAGACAACACTCAGAAAATATTTGTAAAACATGTTTGTAAATTATGTATTAGTGTATGTTTTGTAAGTTGTCCTATATGAATAAATAAATAAGTTAAATAAGTATAAATTGTTCAGTCAAGAGTTTCAAATAAATAACTAATGTAATCTATCTCCTATTGATTAAATACTTCAAATATATTGACAATCACATAATAATATAACATAATTATTTTCAGGTTATATATTCCCCATAATAATCATTAGTATTATAGGACTGATTTTAGCATTTTCTTAAAGATAATAGTTACTTTTATTTATGTTTGATTTACTTTATGAAAAAAGGATCATTAGCTTTTATTTTAGCATTTATATAATACATGTATTAAACATATACATACATGAATATCACAAAAAAGAAATATAGTTATATATAATAAATGTTATTTTATGACAAGTGAGTTTCAATAAACTGCCTTCTTCTAATATTCCCTCGTAGTGAATTTTGAACTGGCTGAACTGGTATTGAATCCCTAGAGGATTGCTCATTGTTGACATCATCAGGAAATAGGCATCTTAGTAGGCAGCGGAAACGTTGCTTCCACAGACCAAAGCATCTTTCCACAGTGTTCCGTGTATGGATATGGCTCCTGTTATACCTTTGTTCTGCTTCTGTTCTTGGGTTCAGCAGTGGGGTAAACAAGTATGGTGTACACGGATATCCACTGTCTCCTAAGAGGATGCCAGAAAACGCTCCAGATTCAAATCTTTGCTTCAAGCGACACTCCCTAAAGATTCTAGAATCATGGACACTGCCACGCCACCGAGCTACGATATCCGATATTCTAGTATATCCAACACATTCAAATCTTCCAAATCAAACATATCAATTGCATCAATATCCATTTTTTGGTTTCTGATCACAAATTCCTTTCCGAAAGCGAACCTCAAAATTAAGAATTTGACGTTTGACAATTTAGTACCATAGTTAAACTAGGGGTCACGATGGTCTAACTTTGATACCATAGATAGTTCTAGGACTAGCGATAAACTTCGTTTTGTAATAACGTTTATTCAAGGTCATGGTTTAAACCTAGTACTAAAGCCGGTACTTTTTTAAGTCCACGTTTTATAATAAGACGGTTTATTTTTTAGCAGAGTGCAATATTAACTTACCCTAATGTTATAAATAAGATTTGTGATTCTTATTTAGTCATACCATATTTAAATAAATGTTGTTATTATTGTGATAACGTATAAGTATTAATAGTATAATTAAAAAGTGATCTTCGTCAATCAAACAACATTCTATTTGTCTAGACTTCAATTGATAAATCTGTTGGTCTAGTTTATTCATTAGCCGGTCGCTTTAAGGCCAACTTATCTTTATGTGACATAATCATTTTTATTAATAGATTTCTGTTTGCCCTATAGGATTGTATACCTAATCATTATTTTTATTTAAATAAAGAACTTTTAAGACAAATTATTTGGAACTTAGATTTTCATAAACGTTTATTTGTTCCGAGTCCATGTTGTTTTCTGAGTAATGATCTCTTGGGTGAAGTGTTTGCTTGCCTGCTCCTAATTTTTAGCAATAACCTGTTCCTTGGCCAAAATATGTAAGTACCTCTTCTTAGAGCCTGCCTTCCCTAGACTTATAATCTACCTACACTACTACTATATTTCTGTTGCCCATTGACATCGGTACGTCAGTGTGCTGCACAACATTTTCTTCATCATCTTGAAGAGCCAGGTGCTCTTCGACGAATCCCGATATGCAATCCAGCCAGCGGTGTTTATACATCACTTTTATCACACGTTTACGAAAAACAACTAGCAGTAAAAATATTAACAGCCCCTGCATACTGTTAAACACTTCGATGATTGTCCTGAGAACAACAATACAAATTATGTTATTATAAATATAAACATACTAAGAATGACATATTGTTTACATTGAGAATATAAAGAAGAATACAAGAAGAAAATATAAAGTAGAAATTTTTATTTGGAAAGTCTAAAAAAACGCTATGATAAGGGACCCAAATAAAAAAATCAAAGAAAGTTCCACTATTCACTGTAATAATGAATTACGTAGTTCAGTGAGTACCAGCGTTAATATAGAATTTGTTAACCAGTTTGGGTATTCTTTAGCTATCGGTTAACATTTTTTAAGTGAACCATATTATGTCCTTTATTGTACCACTGACAGTAATTGAGGTACGTCGTTAAAGTAAAACAAAAAACATTAGATGTAATGTTAGGTTTTCAGAACATCGTTATTGTTATACATATTTATAGGTTTGTGACGTTTATAACCTTAGAGCATTAGACCAAATTAATTTGTTTAATGCTCTAAGGTTATACCGTTACGGACAGACTCATCTCTGTTACTCTTTCTGATAACAGTTAGTACAATGACGCCTAGATTTCAGTCTGACTCCAGTTATCTAAATATTGATTAATGCTTGATTACTCTCTTGCTAGTCTCTACTGACTACACGAAACACTTTACTTGTTTACTTAGGCTCCGTTCGCACAGCAATATTATACAAATATTTTATTGACAGATATTAGAAAAAAGTGAAGTTATTTTATTATAAAATATCTTAAAAATCACCCCACGCTTATTAAGATAAAATTATTTTACTTTTTGAAAGTATAAAAAGTATTTTTTTTACTTTTATTTCCTAGTAGTTACAAAAGCGTGTTATTTATTTATTTTTAATTCTACCTTATTTGTGCTTTTTAGTCATTAATGATGATTATTTTTTCATTAAGACTAAAAAAGTAACAAGTAAGTAAGTTACATATGCTTTAGCACACGCCTTTTGGTACGTAGCAAACGACTACCGTATTTTCAGGAATGGAAAAAGCCAAAGTTATCAAATTATTGTATTGTCATCGGTCCTTGATATGTTTTGCGAAGTTTCAATGTAATTCGACCGTTTGAAGTGGGTAAAAATCACTTTTTTTTTTAAATTATTTATACTTTATGCACAAATGTGACAAAGGCGGACATAAGGCATTTTTTCCTAGTCAACCTTAGGACACAGCTAAATCATGGTAGATGCAAATAAATAAAAAAATGAGATTTTATGAAACATATAGCATATTATAGAGGATATCATATACCCAGAGTACGTATATAAATTACATTTGAATAATTAAAAGAAACATATACAAAAAGTAATACTGAAACTAAACACACACAATACATATGTAAGTATTTATATACACATACATATACCTATACTTATACATACATATAATGTTAATAAATTCTAGAAGAGATAGTTTAAAAAATTATGTTCGACGATTCCGTTCCATACATACATACATAAATACATAGTAAGCTAATAAAACCGTGTTGATGACAAGTCATGAGTTTTTTGTGCAACTAATAGTTGCCCAAATTAAATGAAGATACGTTGTTTCACGTTATAAATAAGCTTGTTAGAACGATAAGCATAAGCATGATTGCTTAATCGACGTCAAAATTTACTTTTTTTTTATCACATAAAACAACTTGCCAGAGAAAGTTTACAAAACGACAGCTTCTAGAGAAACCACATAGATTTATGTTTGAGCCGTCGAGAGTTTACACTTTAATACAATGTAAGTGAATGAGGGTAGTTATATACTTACATTTGTTCACTATATGGTACACTAATTATTGTTTGCTTTGAAAACATTACATAAATATAAGATAATCACAATATATAATATAACAACAATATAAATAAAAGTTAAAACGATAATTAAACATACCAAATAATATGTTTCTCGAACAGAGATTTCACCATTTCGAACACCCACGGTAAACCCATCAATAATATTAATCGAACGCTTATTAGAAATCTGAAACACAAAGAAATTGTGCAATAGTTATTATTATTATTAAAAATATATTTTGTACTTTATGTTCCCATATTCTTTTATACTATATATTAAAAAAAGTTATATTTGTACGTATGTAAAGCATAGGCGTACCCAGCATTTACTTAAGTGTGGGGCAAAATTAAGAAACCCAGATAATTTATTGTCATTTAAATTTCTTTCAATAATAACCTGCGAGGAGTTCAGGAAAACCAGTTTAAAATTTCATTTACAAATTTATTTAGTGCTTCCAAAACTCTATTCCTATGCACTCTCATCATGCAGACAGAGGCGTAGCTAGAGAACTTTCATTTTCTGATTTTTTTATGGAATCCGAACAGTACTTTTTATAAAATGACATTAAAACTGTGAGTCCTCATACCTAAGCTAATCTTTTTACCGGTTCTCTGTAGTTTTTCAAAAATTTAACGAGATCATTATCTTATCATTATTTACTAAAATGCCAAATGAAAAAAATATTAAACGGTAACTCTCTGATCACCAGTACCTTAAAGTCGTGTTACAACTTATTTTATTTATATTCCAAAAGTGGTAGAACTTTTATCCAATTCAACACGAGGTTTTAGTCAGTTCGACTGTACACGGAGGGTGTCTGGTCAATGACATCGTACGGTGTACCGTTGTGGCCGACAGCTCTGACCGCCTAGAATAGGTCACGCCTCTGGCGCCCTCAGCGGATATTGGTGGTTAGAGCCATACGCTGTTACCGCACCGTGTCGATGGAAGATTTGGAGGCGGAAGTGGTCGCTAAGTATATCGACCTAGACCTATGGTGAGTTCCGGGTAAAAGGAAAACGTATGCGTAAGGCCGGTCGCTGAGCCACGATGGCTCGTTAGTCAACCCGGCCGGAGGCTCCGGTGAAGCCACTTCAGCCAGTGATCGTTGATAGGGCGGCAGCACGGGATCCTTTACGCTTGACACAGGTTAATTCCAGGCACGGCTACTTTGGCGTCGCAGCGCCGGGTCCTTGTTGCAGTCATCGGAGAGGATCTCTCGTTAACGGCCGTCATAAACTCCATAGTCGGTAGCGACAGATGTTTTACCGCGGTCGTGTTCTTCTGCGAAGATGTCATCTCGCAGAAAGAAGCACTTGGACCCAATTCACTGCCGGTAAACACGGACGGAGACGGGTTTTTCCCTTCATCCGCTGTAGTGGCCTCCGTCCTCCGTCCCTCATTAGCGTAGGCCTGGGGGTGACAGTCGGTCTGTCGCTCTAACAGAAGCAGGCTGGTGAGGCGGAGCGACACGCTGTGGAGTGCGCGGGCCCATTAGGGAGTCAAAAGGGAATATCGTGGTTCCCACACACGAGGGGACATCTATATGCCGTAGATTATCTGGGGTACCAGAGATTTCCCTTCTAGGGTTCTCCCCGGTTACTGGAACCTGAGACAGCGTGCCGTTCATTCCACAAAAATACGCAATTATTAAAAGTCTTTATTAATTTGTCGGTGCACTTCAAATTGCGAAACTCTGTTGTGAGCGGAATCGGCGGACGTAGTACGGTATTTTGAATAATTTAAAAAAAATTAATATTTTGAATAATAATTAAAAAAAAAAAAAAAAAAAAAAAAAAAAAAATTATTGCGGAAAGTTTGAGTTTGTAATTAATTTTATTTATATCTTTTATTTATATTAAAATAAACAGGTGTGAGTTAGAGTGGAGGGTGGAGCAAGTGCCCCACCTTGCCCCACTGTGGGTACGGCCTTGTGTAAAAGTATCATCAACTAGCCGTGGTCATAGTTTAGCCAGGTGACAGGTCAACTATTAATGTGCTATTAAAATAGAAAAAGAAATTAAACAAATAGGACTCGTAGAATCTAAGTTAAATAAACTCTCTCGGCAAATTTTTTAATTTTAATTTCATGTATGTTAACAACATGTAAAATGTCTGATTTTTAAGCAAAACTCCTCACTGGCCCAGGTAATATAAGAATTAAGACCTTTTTTCTTATTAAATATTAACTCATTTTTGGCATGTCTTTAAGAGTAAGGTAAAATTATGAGGTGTCATTGTACCCATGTTTAATGTAGGGATCAATGCTGTATAAGTTTGTAAAGTTATAAGACAGTTTCTATATGTTTAAAAAGGATACCGAATCTAAGCTGTTTATATTCGGCGGTACTATCAATGCGATTTGCTTTTTAAGCGAATGAGATTAATGCACACATTTTTCATCAGACATTAGAAAAGACCTAACTCTCACCCTACCCCAGTTGAATGTGGTTTTCTCATTTGCGTTTCTCGTTTCGTTTCGTTTCAATACAATTTATAATACAATGTACTAACAGTGTAGTATCTACCAAGCTTACTTGTATTTCAATGTCTTCAGATGACTCGAGGAGAAAGAGAGACGCCATATAACTAGCGATACATAAATGAAAATAGCGATGTTAGCAGCCAATAACAGCGACATCACACTGTACATGTAATACCATTGTTGACTTTTATCTGAAGGCAGAAACAGAAAAAATGATTCAATTTGTATAATTAAAAACATGTATAAATGACTATTCTGATAATCGATTCTATGTATTATTATGATTGTCTTTGTTTGTCGTAAAAGTTATTCGAAGGTATGGTGGGTGAGGTCCTAGATAAATTTCGGTCTTTTTCTGATTTATTAACACTAACAGAGTTTCCATTGCTATCATACAACTATTCTATCATATAACAACCGGGATGTGAGAAGTGATGATATTTGGGATTTTTAATGGGATCGGATTGACAGTGTTTTAAAACGATAATTTTATAACAGCATTGTTATAGTGTAGGCTACAAGCCTGTATGTTAGTTCATATTTTAGTAACTTTCTGGTGGTTTTGAGTGTATCCAGGGCCTAGTCAAGTATCCTTTTTTTTTTTTTTTTTTTTCCGTGCGGAAATCCCCTCGGATACCACCTATCGGTGGCATGTCGGACCCGAACCGACTAAAACCGCACGCCTTCGCCGGGTACTAATAGCCGGGGAACCAGGTATACCCTCGAAAGGAAGGCCCTGGTGCCCCGACATACCTCGGGTCATCTACAGACGAGTAGACGACCCCCGTGTGTGATGTGGGAACCCCATGTTCCCTGTGCTCCCTGGAAGCGAGCGCGCTTCGCAACGCGCTCGCCGCCACCCCGGCCTGCTTCTGCTAGGGTGACAGATGGCCTCACCTGTCACCCCCAGGCCTGCGCTTATGGAGGACGGAGGTCGTTCTGCGACCTCCGGCGCCTGAGTCGCCTGCGCTGCCTGGCCCGTGCCCGGGCCTGGCGGGCCGGGAGAGTTCTAAACCTCTCCCGGTCCCGCTCCGCCGTCTCCTTCGCGGGCATAACTTGCTCGCAGAAGGAGACGGCAGAGTCCCACGCACTCTCGCTCCGCACGATAGCCGCAATCAGGCTATCGAGCGAGAGAACTCCCACTCCGATGGCCGCCACGAGGTCTCGCCTCTGCTCAACCCACGCCGGGCACTCTGCCAGCGTGTGGAGAGCCGTGTCCACGGTCTGGCCATCGCAGTGGTGGCACTCAGGCGTTGGCTCCTTGCGGATCAGACACAGGTGATCTCCGAAACATCCCTTCCCAGTGATCACCTGCGTCAATCGGTATGAGAGGGTCCCGTGACGCCTCTCGAGCCAATCCTCCATAACGGGTCTTACCGCCGCAATGACGGCGTGCCCAGCGCTCGGTTGCCCGAGTCGTTCCCTCCACTCCCCTATGATGACCTGGCGGAGTTGGGATTTCCGGTCATCGATTTCTCGAATCTCGGGGCATCGACCCAACTCCTGCGCCTCCTTGCGCCACTGATACAGTGCCGCAAGGGCTCTCGCCTCCAGGTCCCCCGGTGGAGTTCCGGCCAGGAGACTCGCTGCCTCAAAGGAGATCGTACGGTACCCCCTTATGATCCTGATGGCCAGCATTCGCTGCGGTCGTCGCAGTATCGCGACGTTGCTGGCCTTCAGGGCCCCCGCCCATACCGGGCACCCGTAAAGGGCCATGGACCGCACAACCCCCGAGTAGAGTCTCCTGCAGGTGTCATCGGGTCCTTTCATGTTGGGCAGCAGCCGCGCCAACGCACGCGCTGCCCCAACCAACTTGGGGACCAGACCTCGGAAATGATATCCGAAGTCCCATCGGCCATCGAGTACGAGCCCCAGATACCTGATCGAGGGCTCGATGCCGATGCGAGTGCCTCCTACCGTGAGGCTAGATCCCTCAGGCGGCTTCCTCCGAAGCCCGTGGAAGAACAGGGCCTCGGACTTGTGCAGAGCCACCTCGAGACCCAGCCGCCGGATACGCTCAACGACTTGGGCAACCCCGGCCGTGGCCCTCAGGGTTGCCTCGTGGTGTGTCTTGCCGCGCGCCGTCACGAGTGTGTCGTCCGCGTAGCACACGACGGCGACACCATCCAAGAAGGCACCACGAAGCACCCAGTCGTAGCCGATGTTCCACAAGAGTGGCCCTAACACCGACCCCTGCGGAACACCGCACGACATTTCACGCCTACCGAGACCGGTCCTACTGGGGTAGACGACGGCTCTCTCCGACAAATATGCCCCGACTATGCGGCGGAGGTAGAGAGGCACTTCGTGATACACGAGCGCCTCCCTGATGCAGCTCCAGGGCATAGTGTTGAACGCGTTGGCGATGTCCAAGGACACCGCCAACACCACTTCGCCCCGGGAGACTGCTTCCTCCGCCAGAGCCTTCACGCGCATGATCGCATCCACGGTGGAGCGCCCCTGACGGAAACCGTACTGGTTGTCCGCCAGCTCCGGTCCAACCATCACGAGATGCTTGACGAGGCGCCTTGCAATCACTCTTTCTTTCGGCCGGTAGGCGGACGGTGAGTCCGCCGGGCGCCCCTCCTTTCGGATGAGGACCAGTTTCCCCGTCCTCCACAATTTCGGAAACTGGCCCCGCTCGAGGCATGCGCTGAAGAACCCTCGCAGTCGGGGCTCGAGAGCCTCGTCGACTAAGGCCAGGACCCACGCTCGGCCAGGAATGCCATCGGGTCCCGTGCGATCTCCGGCGACCACCAGTAGACCTGGCGCCTTGCAGTATTGGGCTGAGCCCTAGGCATCGCCGCATCGCAGACGCGGGTCATGGCCTCCCGGAACCACTGTGCTTCAGCATCGACGTCGACAGGCCTGTCCGGCGCAGGAGCCCAGGCCTGTACGATGGCGGCTTCCAGGAGGAGGTCGCGATCTAAGCGCTTGAGCGCCCAACGTGGTTCAGGTGGTGCCGGTCTGACCGGCGCGCCATCTGCAGGGGCGGAGACGTCAAACCGAATATATCGGTGATCCGAACCTGTCTCCTCCCCGACAACGACGCGCCAGCCTTGGACACGACGCGCTAGCGAGGGGCATGCGAACGAGATGTCCACGATCGAACTACCCCTCGCCGTCACGAACGTGGCCACGGCCCCCCGGTTTAGGAGAACTAGGCCGAATCTTTCAGCCCAGTTCTCCAATGCCCTGCCCCTCGGGTTCGTGCGCAGGGAACCCCAAGCCTGCGACCAGGCGTTGAAGTCCCCCAGCACAAGAACCGGGTGGGGGCGACAGGCATCGACGACGACGGCCAGCTGAGCGAGCCATTGCTCGTACTCAGTTAGGTTTCGGTTCGGCGTGAAATAAGCGGCCACGACCGCTATATCTCCAACTATCGCCGCTACACAGCCCCGTCCCCTTGCACCTACTGCAAGAGGTGGAGTGCCGGCTGCGGTACCGTGCACCAGGGCCGCCGTGCCGTCCAAGTCGGTCTCCCAGGCAGGCCCGAGAAACCGATGGACATATGGCTCGGCGATAGCGGCGATGTTGATGGACCAATATGCCATGCTCTGGAGCAGAAGATCCTGAGCATCGGCACCGTGGCCTACGTTCACCTGGAGGATGCGGAGATGTGGATCCATCACTGGACTTCCATCCCCGCATCCCGCAGCGAACTTTGCGGCTGTCCAGCGGCACTCTCTGTCTGGATCAGTGGCTCGGAGGCGGAAGGTCGGCCTCCCGGCTTCGGTCGCGATAGGGCACAGGCCTTACCACCAACCCGGTGGTCGGCAGGCTTGCCCCCCGCTGCGCACCTTTTTTTTTTTTTTTTTTGTTAACGGGGGAGATCCTCATGGATGTCCTCCGCCCAGGGGAAAGGGCGGAGGGGTCTGTCAGACTCCTACTGACTAAAACCCCCCGGTGTTCCGTCTCTCACCTACGCCGGGGATCGCGGGAACTGAGGTGACTTCCGCAATCCCCGACTGGTGCCGGCCCGCCGCTGCGGGCCACATCGCGTCAGCGAGGGGAGTGAGGTGTTTGACTCCCCTCGCAACTACACAGAGGGGCGCACGGGAACCCAACGCACCGCCACCTCGGGTCCAGATGGGGCGACGAACATCCCCAAGTCCGCCGCCCCTGGACCCTGCTGCGGATCGGGAGAGAGGTCAGGATCTCCCTCTCCCTCTCCGCAGCCTCCTTCTGCGAGATAACCGTTTCGCAGAAGGACGCCACCGCGTCCCAGGACTCCTCGCTGTCGACCACAGAACGAACTACGGCTGGCAGCGAGAGGTCACTGCCTACTACAGATATGAGGGCACGGCGCGGCTCCTCCCAGGCGGCACACTCTGCCAGCGTATGCCGCGCCGTGTCCTCCCGACAGTCGACGCAGTGGTGACACCGAGCGTCCGGCTCCCTGCCTAAGCGACACAGGAACCTCCCGAAGCAGCCATGCCCAGAGAGGACCTGCGTCACACGGAACGACAGGGAGCCGTGCCTTTTGTCGAGCCAGAGGTCGAGCACTGGCCAGATGGCCTCGATAGTAACGAGGCCGGCGGAAGGGCGTGACAGCCTGTCCCGCCATTCCACCACCAGGACCTCGCGCAGCTGTGACCGACGCAGCTCGATGTCTCGCTGCGCCAGTCCCTCACCGCGAGCCCGCGCGTCCTCACGCCACCGATGCAGTGACGCGAGGACTTTTGCCTCCAGGTCCCAGGGCGGAGATCCGGCCAGTACGCAAGCCGCCTCGTGGGAGATCGTGCGATAACCCCTAACGACTCTGACGGCCATCACCCTCTGCGGCTTCCGCAGAACTGTGATAGCGCCGGCCGTCAGGTCAGCCGCCCAGATCGGGGCCCCATATAGGGCCATCGATCGCACGATCCCCTCGTACAGCCGCCTGCAGGCGGCTCTCGGGTCCGACTTATTGGGAAGCAGCGTTGACAGCGCCCCAGCCGCGCCCAACAACTTGGGCGCCAGCCGCCGGAAGTGGGGGCCAGGATCCCACCGGCTGTCGAGCACCAATCCTAGATATTTTAGGGTGACTCGACAGCGATTCGAGCCCCCCCAACCACCATGTGCAATCCCGGCGGCGGCGCCCGTCGGGGGCCATGAAAAGCTATGGCCTCCGACTTGTTGAGGGCTACCTCCAGGCCAAGGCGCCGTATGCGGCTCACCACTTGTGAGACCGCCGCCGTCGCTAGCAACGCTGCCTCCCTGTACGAGCTTCCCCGGGCAGTGACCAGCGTGTCGTCAGCGTAACACGTCAGGTCCACTCCCGGTTGGAGCTCGCCCCTCAGCACCCAGTCGTAACCGATGTTCCACAGGAGCGGGCCCAGGACTGACCCCTGCGGAACACCGCACGACATTAGGCGCTGGTGTTTGCCATCACGTCCCAGATAGGTGACACACCTCTCTGATAGATACGCCCCAACGATGCGGCGGAGGTGGGGAGGCACTTGATGGTAGCGCAGTGCCTCCCGAATACAACTCCAGGGCAGGGTGTTGAAGGCGTTGGAGATGTCCAAGGACACCGCCAACATCACCCCGCCGCGGGACACCGCTTCCTCCGCCAGGACTCTCACTCGCGAAATCGCCGTAATAGTCGAGCGCCCATGCCGAAACCCGAACTGGCACTCGGCCAGGTCCGGCCCCTCCTCACATAAGTGGCGGACGAGGCGGGCTGCAACTATTCGCTCGAACAGCTTTCCCACCTCGTCCAGCAGCACTATGGGCCGGTACGCGGACGGCGAGTCCGCAGGGCGCCCCACCTTTCTGAGCAGGACCAGACGACCCGTTTTCCACTGAACGGGAAACTGGCCCCGCTCCAGGCACGCTGAGTAGAGTCCTATCAATTGGGGCTCCAGCTCCTTCAGAGCCAGGGCCAACACGCAGCCGTGAATGCCATCGGGCCCCGGGGCAGTATTCTTCGCCCGGAGCCGTATCACGGCCGCCCCCAACTCTGATTGTGTCACCTCTGGGACGTTGGCGTCCTCTTCTTCAGACTCCGCGGCTGTGGGCAGAGCCATCGGCGGCGGAGTGTGCTCCGCTTGAGCCGGGAAGAGGGCTGCGACTTCGTCCTCCAGCAGCTCGGGTTGGAGACTCTCCGTAATTGGCGGCGCCCATGGGCCGAGTTTCCCTCGGACCGAGCGATATGGACGCCCCCACGGATCCCCGTTTAGAGTCTCCAACATCTCCTCCCTAGCTCGCGTCTTCGCCTCGCCGATGGCCAGCCGCAGAGCCTCCTTAGCCGCGCGGTACACCTCATACAGCGCGGCTTCTTCATCAGGAACCCGACGACGTCTTCTCCGGTATCGGGTGTACTGGCGCCTGACTCGAACGCACGAGACGCGCAAATGCGCGATCTCGGCGGACCACCAGTACACCTGGCGCCTTCTGGATTGTGTGTGGATCCGGGGCATGGACGCGTCACTAATTTGCGTCATTGCCCCGTGAAACCACTGCGCCTCCTCTTCGACGTCGACGGGTCCGGTCGTTGCCGACTCCCAGATCCAGGCCTGCACAATAGCGGCCTCCTCGAGTAGCTCCCTGTCGAGGCGCCTACGCGCCCAGCGAGGACCGTCCATTCGCGGGGTCGACGAACTGCGGCCGCCCGCAGCCCGGGCGGAGACGCTGAAACGGATGTAACGGTGATCCGACAACGTCTCCACCCCCACAGCGACACGCCAGTTGCTGACACGGCTCGCGACAGCGGGACTAGCGAACGAAAACGTTCCACTATGGAACCGCCCCGCTGTCGCACGCACGTGTAGGCCGAGCCCCGATTCAGGACGGTCAAGCCGGTCGTGACCGCCCACTCCTCCAATGCCTCACCTTTGGCGTCGGTGACCGGGGACCCCCACGCCGCAGACTTGGCATTGAGATCCCCGAGCAGCAGCACCGGGCGAGGATTGTACCGGTTCACGACGGCACCCAACTCGACAAGGAAGCTCTCGAAGTCGGCGAGGCTCCTGTTGGGCGAGAAATACGCCCCAACAGTGCCGATGCCGTCCACGAGGGCGGCCACCCAGCCGTGACCTCGGGACGGGTCAGCAAGAGCCCCGCCAATGATGGCCACCGTGCCGTCCAAGTCCCCCGCCCAGTTATCTCGGAGGGGGACATAGTACGGCTCGGCGACCACAGCCACATGAATCGACCCCCGCTGCGCACCTAAAGCAACGCAGCGGAGCGTTGCAGCCACCCGCCTTGTGACCGGGTTGGCCACAGCGGAAGCATCGGTCACCTACGGTGGCCTCCGCCGTGCAGTGCACCCCTACGTGACCCACCGACAGGCACCTGAAGCACCTTGCCGGTCGGGCCTGCAGGAGTCGTGCCTGCGCCCTCAGGAAACCTCCGACCAGGAGGCTCCGTCCATCGGCGACCTTCTGGGCCGCCGCGATGGGGCAGCTGACAACCGCTGCCCCCTGTCCACCGGAGCCGAAGCGTATTGCTCCGGCCTTCACGCTGTCCAGAGGGCAGCTTCCTGTCTCCGCCACGGCGAGTCTGAGCTCGTCCGCCGTGACAGAGTCGTCCAGGCCCGTGATGCGGACTTCGGCGCATTTAGTGGGCCTGGACACTCGGACGTCAGCTGCATCCAGTGACTGCCTCAGCTTAGCCGCTAGGGCATCGGCTTTGGGGCCACTGGTAGCGCCGGCTACCTCGAGGAGCCGGGCCCCCGTCCGTGTGTTTTTACACCGGACGCCCGGAATCTCGAGGGCTTTGAGGTCCACGTTGGCCTTGACTTTCGGCAAGACCTCGGCGTACCCCACGCCCCTCTCCGCTGCCTCCGCCGTCAAAGTGATAACGACGGCCGAGGAGCGAGGGGTGCGGAGCTTCCTCGGCGCTCCCTTCGCGGCGGCGGCGGCGTCCCTCCTCGCCTTCTTGGCCGCTTTTTTGGCGGCCTTCCGCCTCTTTTTGCTGTCCCCGGCCACCGTCCAGTCCCGCTCCAACGGGCGCTGTGCGGTGTCAGCCGGGGCCGAGACTGGGGCTTGAGTTGGGGCCGCCTTCCCCCTCCCTTTGCCCTTTCCGGCCTTCTGGGGCGGGGGGGCTGATGACGGCCCAGCCACCCTAACTGCTGGCTGGGCTGTTAGGCCCGCCCCGGCAGCGGCCGCATAGGTTGCTCTTGGCGGAGCCAGAGGTGGGCGACAACGGGCGCTCTCTACAGCGGAGATGCGCCTCATTATCCGCTCCTCCATCTCCGCCATGAGTCGGACTAAGCTCGGCTCCGGCTCCGGGGCGGACAGCCTCCTCAATCCGGTCGACGGGGTTGCCGGTTTTGCCACCCTCCTTCTCGCTCCTCACCTCGGTCACGTCTATCGACCTCTCGGACGCGACCCTCTTCACGGGAGCGTAGGAGCGTAGGGGCTCCTTCTTCTGCTCCTGGGCAACCCTAGGGAGTCGGCCTCCGCCGCGAGCGCCTCTGCGGCTTGTGCCGACTTTTGGAGCCGTGGCGTCATCGCTCGAGGCCGACTCCAATTGCCTCTTCAGGCCAAGGCGAAGCGAGCGCCTTTTGCGCTTTGGAGTACCCTTCTGGTGCTGCTCCGCAGCTGAGACCATCGGGGTACTTCGCTTCGCTCATCTCTGAGGCAGTGTCGGTGTTCGACACTACCTCCAGGTTTTTTGCGTCCTCCGCGTTATTTTGGGTGCCGGATTTACTGCTCGGCGACGGGCAGGTTTGACAGAGGTTGCTCCCCCCAGAGTACGTTTGGGAGCTGCCGGAGCCGTCTGGCTCCGGGAGGGATTCTCCAGACGCAGTGCGTCTGGTACCCTCCTGGGTAGATTTATTAATCTTTCGGCCCATGTCATGAATTAGTTAGTTTAACGTCCTTCGGGGACGCCTTCGGCACTGGACTCCCTCCAGCGACTCAGCCCCTTGCCAGGCGTCAGAACGTGGGCTTAGAGCATTTTTTATAGAGGTTTACGTCCTCGCGGATCCGAAGATCCACCGGTCCTGTCCATTCAGGATTACGGCTGGGCCGGACGGGGTCTGCACCAGACCGGGTCCGTCCGCCCCCAGGGTTTTTTATAGAGGTTGCCTTCCTCGTAGCCCTCGAAGAGCCGTCATTCCTGACCGTTGCCAGTCAGGGTTACGACATGGCCGGACGGTGGTCTGCGTCAGACCAGTGTCCCCCACCTCTGGACAGAGCCAGCTGCAGTGGACCCGTCCGCCCCCAGCCCGCTCTCCCCTATGCCCTCTGCCAAACAGAGGGACACGCGGAAAGCAGCCCTCCGAACAGCCCTTGACGGGCCGTTCCCACCTCGGCCGGAATTGGCCGCAGGCGGCAGCGCCTCCCCCACCTAGGGAGAGAGGCGCTGCCGTCTCCGTTGCCCAGGGTGCACCACAAGGAGGTTCCGGACCACGCAACCCCAAGGACCACGCACCCCTAGTCAAGTATCCTGCTGGCGGTAGTGACGTGTTCCAGTTTGTTGATCCTGATTATATCGCTTGGGCTACACGATGGCTGGGGCTCGACGGTTTTGTATCGACGGGCCGACTCAATACTATGGTCCTTTATTCAAAAGGTCAACCCAGACCCTATACTGCACTCACAAAGTTCTCTTTAATATTGTACACGGATTTAAAAAAAAAGACATCCCCCCCTTCCCTTTTAATCATTATAATCATCACAGGTCGACTGGCATCGAGGTGTTCGTTGTTCTATGCCACGTAGCTAGGTAGCGCTAAAGAGACCAGATGTGATCTGTACAGACAGGGTTTATTACCATATATATTATCATTCCCATTTTAAACATCGCAGATACTACTGAAAACTGGCATTTTCTGAAGGTTCGTCATGCGCCACCTTGATCAACGGACCGCTGCTTCTTTAAAAGAATTTTGCTAAATAAAATAAGATACACGTATAAACTTACTAAAGAACCAACAGTCGTTAAGACCAATACCAGGTTTCTGGTGTTTGCCAGGGTAGAAGTTCACTATAGCCATACACACGGTGAGAAGAGTAGGACTCCCCCAAGAGTATAAAAAAAACCATTTGAATTCATGCCAGCTGTAGTCCAATGTCGCCGGCCGTCTGAAATAATTTTATTTTAACTTCATTATTATTTCACGACCTTATGTGAAGTTAGTAATAGATAATAAAGCGAAAAATGTCTACCTTGTATTTAACAGCATCTGTATTGAAATAGCATTTGTCCAGAAGAATGCAGCGATTATAAAAAAGTATGTCAAAAACCCTGAAAAATAAATATGTGTCGTATATTGATAAGAACATAACGTAACTGACAACATACATAGGTACACCAAGCTAAGTAGGATTAGAGGCGGAGCGATATCTATTCAAATGAATTAAATTAAAGTGTCTGTTAGTAATGTCAAAAGAATAGGTTTTTTTCATGATCACACGGTTATCTGCACGATACCTATGCCTAAAAACCAGTTTAAAAAGTTTTTGTTTATCTGTCTGTCTGTTTGTCCGGGTAATCTACTAAACGGCTACACCGATTTTGATAATATTTTACTAATAGGTAGCTGTCTATATAAAGATTAACTTAGTCTATTTTTCCTCTCAGAAAAACCCTTTAAAACCTTGCCCGGTCCGCGAAGCGAACTCACTAAGGCAGCGCTTTTCAAATTCCACGCGAACGAAGTTGCGGGTACCAGCTAGTCCTAAAATATGATAAATAAAACAAAGCCCAAAAAAAAAGAAAACTGGGCGCGTTAAACATGGGGGCAAAAGAAAACATGAACTTTAATTTTCTATACCATGATTTATAAAGTATAAAACGTTACCATATACACACCAGCTTGCGACACGATCTTTTTTATAATTTTTACGATTATGTGTTAACCTTTCAATAGGTTAACAAGTTCTGTGATTGCTTTCATAATTAATTTATGAAATTAACTTTAAATTGAAGGCAATGTGTGTGTACTAATTGTGCATACTGATCACAATGATGACCAATCAAAGACAAGCGAAATTCATTAATTATACTTTATTCTTAGATTGCGATGCGACTTAAATAAACGAGGTAAAATAATGTGTAATTTCCTTTCCGATATCCAACCGGATTATTAATTTGTCCCGGATAGTAATTATTAAGTAAGTACATTATGGTATGGTGACGGATTAAGAATACAGAGTGTCACCCCAAAAGAAAATTCTTGGATCAAAATTCTTTGTACCCCCAAAAAAAAATGGGTTTGTAAAAAAATATAACAAAAAGCATTTCTTTTTGCCATTTCTATTTTTTTTGCAATTCATACTAGGAATACTTAATAAATATTTGTGTGTAGAAAAATGAGAAAACTAAAATTTAAAAGTTTAAGGATTATATAAAAAATGCCATCGTATTAAGAAAACGAAGTGTCACAACCTCTATTCAACCCGTAGGTGTCGTAAGAGCCGACTAAGGGAGAAAACTACGCGGAACAACAGCACTGCAGAGAGAGGGAAAACTTGACACAAACCCTTTACCAACCCGTCTGGCCAGCGTGGTATAGTAGGCCAAAACCTCCTTTCTAAGGAGAGGCTTATGTCCAGCAGTGGACTATTAAAAGCTGTCGATGAAGTACATATAATATGCAATAGCAATTAATCAGATCCATATTAAATATTATTACTTTCCAAGTAACTCAAGGCAGTAAAAACTAAACTAATAAATGACTCATGCAATTTCTACTACAAAAATCAGAAGTTCAAGATGACTGCACGGATAGCGTAGTGGCTTAAGCGGTCCCCAAGCCGCTTCCTACTACGCTAAGCTTTATGGGTTCGATCCCCACACGGGACGTCACTTTGTGTGAGCCGCTAATTGTCGCTCTGAGTCTGGGTGTTCTTTGTGTCCGTTTCATGTACACATGTTTGTAAAATCCCCCACCTCACACATGATGTATTCCTAATGTGAGAGTTGTCTTTTTGTCTGTAAGTTCTATTTTTACATCTGAAATGATTGCCTATTGTATTGAACGACTCGCTAATTAAGGAAAGCCGTTGATGAAAGACCAAAAGCAGGTATTGATGCATGGTTGCATCGTCTGTGGAATCCACCTACGTGCTAAAAAAGAGGTATATAATAATGTTATATCGTCATTGGAGGTGCTGACATATATTTAAACAAGTTTTAGATAACAATTACCTCTAGTTGCACACAGAGCCATGTCGGAGTACGTTGCTAACCTCAAAAAGATTAGTATTCCCTGACCAATGGCTAAACTTATGCAGAAATTAATAATGCTCTTGCCTTGTACATCCCTATAAAAAAAAAACATTAATATATATATAATGGAATTTTCAAAATAATTAGTTTATTTTTTATTAAAACCTAAATCTATAATTATCTATACTAATATTATAAAGCTGAAGAGTTTGTTTGTTTGTTTGTTTGTTTGAACGCGCTAATCTCAGGAACTACTGGTCCGATTTGAAAAATTCTTTCAGTGTTATATAGCCCATTTATCGAGGAAGGCTATAGGCTATATATCATCACTCTAAGACCAATAAGTAAATAACTTAACTTCCTATTGTAAGTTAAGTTATTTCCCAGTTTTGGCAATGAGTAAAATTACTAGTTTTGCTCTTTTGTTTCTAAGGAAGGCAAAACGAGGTAAAAGAGAAACATCGTATTCTTTTGAGGTGTCTGTTCGTTTATATCAGGGATTCCCAAACTATTTTGAGCAAGAGGGTCTCTTGCTCAAATTCGTTTTTTTTTGAAAATAAATTAATACCTCAGACCCCCATTGCAAAAATACTGTAAAAATCCTATTTATATTTTTCCTATTGATACAATATACTTACCAATTAAAAAACTTTGCTGTTGGTTAAGTGAGTAAACTGGCCATCATTTTCTTATCAAATTTTAACAAAATAAATAGAGACAATATCAGTCTTATAACAAGTTGGTACACGTAACACAACTTATACAGTATCTTGAAAGTTTAAAAAAAGAACTTGTGTTGGTTTATAGCGGAAGATTTTTAGACTTCGTCGACCTTCCAAAATCAGTTTTCGTTTATGTCGACGCCTGGGAAACCGATTTCGACCACTTTAGGAATCCCGGGTTTATATTATCTCTTGAAAGAAGCATTAACATACATACGTAACATAGTCATCATATAATCTTACCTGAGCTCGGGTAATGCAGTGTATATAAGAGCCGTTGGAATTAAAAATATCACAGATACTATCAAACAGTATCCCAGTATCGTGTTATCAATAATCTCTTCTTCTTCTTCATCATCATATACGAATGCAGCTGCCGTTACATTATTTAGAAATGTTACATCTTGTTTTTTGGTTACATTGCCGATACAGTATCTGCAAATGAAACAATTTAGGTGTTTTATTTTTATCGGAACACAGCACTAATTGTTTCTTCAAGTACATACAAAGTAGAACATAATTAGCTTTACATAAATAGTGAACGCTAAAAAATTTAGAAAAGGGTTCGCACAACAAAAAAATGTTTTTTAAATTGACACAATGATTACAATATATTGTTGGTGGTGGTGCAGTGGTAGCGTATGTGTGTGTGCTGTGCGGAGGTCTCGGGTTCGATTCCCGTGGCAGAAAAATAGTTTGTATGATTTGCAAATATTTGTTTTGTAGTTTGGGTGTTTTCTATGTATTCTATCAGTCAATCTAGCTTTCGTAGTAAAAGCTCTGCTTAGTTTGAAACTTGATGGAATTGTGTGTCAGATGTCCGCAATATTATTATAATTATTTATTATTAAAATGTGCACCTACAGCAAAAAAATCACTTTCCTGAAGAAACATACATACAAGGTATTACGATAATAAAATTAATAAAAACAAATATATATGCTTTTTTGTAGGTTCCGATGTCAGGATTTTCTTATTTTATTTATTACTTTCTATTTTTGGATTTAAAAAATTCAAACACGGATGCTATAGTTTCCTAATCGTAAAACTGTTATCTTGATTACTACCGTATGGAAGTGTTAGCCGCTGATCTAATAGCGCCTCTATATAGTGTATCGAACTGTAAGTGGTACTCGTTACCTTGAACCTTAGTTTGGATCCTATATTCTTAATATTGCAAAGCATGTGAGCATTGATTGGTGTCTATTCGTATAACTTGTTATTTCAAAGTCACATTTTTAGCTGAAATCGTTAATTTCTGGTATTATTAAAAATATATTTTTGAATTTATTTACAAAACTGTGATGCTACTCGTAAGTAAATATAATGAACCTTAAGAGCAGATTAGGGACACAGATCAAATTTCAGAAAGGGCTAGTTATCCATTTTTTTTCAAAACGGTAATCGATAATGGGCTATACATACTACTATACAATAAAAAAACAACAGTGCTTAGCTTCTCCGCATGTTTTTCTGTAGTAACTAAAGTGTCTGTTTTTGTGTAGTAGTGTGTGTAGTGTAAGTAAGTAAAGTTTTTTTGTAAACGTCTTACCAGTACCTAGGTATGAAATACTTGGGCATGACGACACGCCTGGCTGTTGCATCATTATGCGGGTTAATGTTAAGTTGACAAGTATACAATTTCACATTATTTTAAGTTTTTTATAACCCGAAAATAGATAATAATAATAAAGATACACTAGCGAAAAACTATAGTATGAGTAGTGTTATTAACCGACTTCAAAACACAAAAGAGGAGGTTATCAATTCGTCTGTATTTTTTTTGTTAATAAACAAAATAAAAATAAAGAATTATATGTTTGTTACGCGATATCTCCGTCAATTGTGTACCTTTTTTCAAAATTCTTTTTGTAATCGGAAGGGCATGCTCCCGAGGTGATCTCACTACCACCAAGTCTGGATCTAATGATGGGATCCTAGAGAAATCGAGGAAAACACTCAAATTTTACAGCCCCGACAACGTGTTTTAGATTATTTCTCTGGCTTTATAGGTATTTGCGTTTAGTAGTTATTATGTCATGTTGCTGAGCTGATGATGGAAGGATCCTTGACCTTTAGGACTTAGACAATAACTCTTTCAAAAAACCAATCATTTAAGTATTGACCTTGTTTTTTTATCTTTTAATATATTTGTTACCTAACACACCTGTTTGTGTTGGGTTACAGAGATATGTGCACAAAAGAGTAATATGTGAGATTAAAAACATTTAAACAATGTTTGTTACGCAATTATTTTCATGTTTTTTACCTCAAACTCTTTCATTTGTAAACTTTTTATTACATTATAAAATTATTATTACATTTTGCATAATTAAGTAATGTGGAAAACAATATACTTTCCGGTTCAAATGTAACATCTTACTTCAAAAAAAGAGCGTACTCCTTCTTCAAAGGCTGGCAACGCGCTTGTGACTCCTGAGTTTCAGGCGTTCATGGGTGGCGGTGGTTGCTTCCCATCATGTGACCCATCTGCTCATTTGCCCCCTATTCCAAAAAAAAATTTCTCAGTACCTTATAAAAATAAAGAAACGGACTTATTAAACTATATTTAATATAATCTAACATACTACAGTTTAGTATTATACATTACGGTACGTAGTGTTTTAAATATCGTAATTACTTATCTTACACTAAAAATGGTAAAATAAATCCTTTAAAAAAAAGTTGAGCCGACTTCAAACAATACTGACAAAGATCACTAAAAGTTAAAATATAATTACAAATCTAAGCAAAAATACTATAAAAGTACCCTCAATAACATTAAAATAGCAATAGCCCCTTCTAGTCTGTTTGAAGTCGGTGCCAAGCCAAATAGGTGCTTGATAGGCTTGGTAGAATTTAGCGAGGTAGCTGCAACAGCAAAAAGATTACGACAACAGAAAATACCCTCAAGGATGTTTATCATACCAAAATATTAAAAGTTTCCTAAGTTGTGGGTTACAGATTTTATAAGTGTTTGTCTCAATAAACATTTAAAAAAATGTATTTTGTCTTTACAAGAGATAAAGTGTTGAAACTGATTATCTCCGATTAACTAAGACATCACATCGAAAAATTATGAATGTATTATTATTACGTTTGAATGCAATATACTTACACATCAATTAAGGTAACTAAATTATCGCTAAAAGCTATAGGCATTTGATCGTCTTCGGTGGTTGTATAATATTTTTTGTTGATTTGGTAAGATTGATTACACTTTGAATTTATTTTACTGGTCACATTAGTGTTTGGTTTCCAACATATGTTTCCTTTTGCTACGACCACTTACCCATCTGGACCACAAAGACGGTTGGCTGCAGTATACGCAACGAAACTAAGTGTACAGTAAAAAAAATTAAATTTTTCAAAATCCATTTTTCTATAAAATATTATATATAACAACTTCTGTTTTCTAAAACTACATTAAGCTGAATCTCCAATAACCCCTTGTCAATCACACTCACTAGATGTTAATAATTCACTTCCTACATTCAATTCGAAGCCTGCCGATATTTCGTCCGTCGCGTGTGCGTAATGTTTAAATCTGATCGTATGTACGTTCGACTTCTGCGATGATATTGTTCTACTGAGCAAAGTCCCCTTGCGTCGCTCTACCCATTGTTTTTATCAACGTATTACGCGACTTTAACGGCTCTATGCTAGTCTTTAGGAAAGGCGCTTTTAATATCACATTAATAATAGATAGTACGAGTATATGTAGCTATAAAACAGCGAAAAAAGTAGTGAAAAAGGGTTTTCAATGGATTTAATAAAAAATTAACAAAATTGCTAAAAGTAATAATTTAGTAATAACATCTACACCAGTGGCGTAGCGTGCTTTGGAGGGGCCCTGTATCAAAATTAGTTGGGGGGCCCAAATGAAGGGTAAAGTTTTCTCACAAAAGAAACAAAAATGCTTGCATTCAATTAAAATAAATATTTATTGATTATAAATTATCACTTCCTCCTAGAAATTGAGCTTGCCAAACAATTCAAATTAAATGTACACTTTTCTTGCCTTTTTAGAAATAGGAGTTTCTCCGGTTGTAACACTTCGAACATATTACTCAGGTCACAAAGACTCTCAAATCTTTGTTTAGTTTGAGAAATTAATATATCTAAACAGCAGTAGTATACATTGACTTTGAAATATAATTCCGGGTCTGAAATTCTCTCATCTTGTGATAACTCATCAAAAAAACGCTTCGTTATCTTTCGTCTTTTATTTTTAAAAACAGTTGTTACCCCCCACACTTTTGCTAAATCTCTGGACTCATTTAGCAAACCATTGAATGAATTTTGATTTCTTATTTCGCTCAGTCTATTCAAAAGATTACTTAATAAAATACTAGCTTTCTGTGAGTCATTATTTTCATGCTGTAGAGCTTTAGAAACAGGATTAATGATTTCAAATAGTAAAGAAAAAAAATGTGACAAGCACTAAGAAATCATAACTCTCTAAAATGTTAATTATATTTTTACATTCTTCGCGTTCATCTTTTTTAGTAGAAATTAAATTTAGTTGGTACAAAGTTTTCATGATTAATAAATAATTCTTTTTTATCGCTAATAAAGCGTCGTTCTTTGAAGACCATCTAGTAGGGCATACCTTTTTAAGGGTAACTTGATGTTTTTCAGATGAATCGCTACTCAACATTGCCCAGCGTTTTATACTATTGCTAAATAAAGTATATATTTTTCTAAATTATCGAAGAAAGTCGACACTTCAATAACATGTTTCGCAGCATCGTTTAATGTGTGTTCAATTTAATGCGTGTGCAGCTCAATGAACATAATCGGCATTCGGAGCATGCTCTTTAATAAGGGCTTGTAATCCTCCATAAACACCTGACATAACATTTGCTCCATCATAACCCTGTCCTCTACATTTAGGCAAATCAATTCCATATTCTGTAATCGTATTTAAAATTTCAGTTTTAAGTACTTCTGCACTGGAATCGGATACTGCTATGAACCCCAAAAAGGACTCAAAGATTTTTAATTCTTTAGGTAGGTACATTATCATCATTTTCTGTTATCGAGATGTATCGAAAAACTACAGAAAGTTGGTCAATTTTTGACAAGTCTTGTGTTGTATCCAAAATAATTGCCAGAAATGGAGCTTTTTTAATTGCTAAAATGATATTATTCTTAACTGCGGTACCAAGCAAATTAATAATTTCATTTGTAATCATAGGGCTTAAATAATTTATTTCACCTTTCGATTTTAAAAGAAGTTCTTCTAAAATAGGATAATAATTAGACAGTAAACGTAAAATTGACATAAAATTTCCAGAATCAGAATCATGGCCTCTTAAAGGTAGATTATATGATGCTAAAGGAATTATACGATGCAATACATCTCTCCAGAATGTAATTTTACTATTGATTTCACTTTGCAATGAAGATTCGATGGTATTTCCTTGTAACCAATTATTATAAGATAGGGATGCATTAATATGCTGCTGTGAGTTTTCATGGTCAAATATACATTTCGTAAAATTGCTTCTAACGGAAACACCGTTAACCCATGCAGAGGAGTACGATTTGCGTTGACGATCTGCTAATAACCAACAGAAGTGGCAATACGGCTTGTTTAAAACATTAGAATAACTTACATTAGAATAGCTTTCTTTCTAAATCTTTTGGAAACGGTCCTTGTGGTTTAAATGGACCCAATTTAAAAATTATTTTTCGTTCGCATTCAGTTAGACTGTCACCACAATTTCCTCTATCTGACGAAAATATATTATAAAATTCTTCAGACGTCTTAGAATCATCGACTTGGGTTTCTTCTATTTCCGGATGGACATTTAATGGAGAATGTTCTTTAGAAGAAACTAAAAATATAATTGAATAAAATTAATACAGTAAAGATTTTTTTTAATTATTCGAAACTAGAGGACTGAAATAGTGTTTAGATAAATTAAAAAAATATATGTTAAATAACGTACGATACGTAAGGTTACGAGTATTCGATCAAAAAATCGGTTTTTTTTCTGACAGAACCTAAAAATCTTTAAGTCAAAATTATCTATTCTCCCAGCATTATAAGAAAAATGGCTTTGAAAGTAATAATCAACTACTAATGAAGAAAATCAAAGCAAAATACTTATTATTGCTCGTTACAATACGTGATCAGGTTATTTTCATATATTGAAGGTTGCCATTGTTCTTTCGAAAAACAAAATTCACCCTTCGCTACTGGTAGATAAATAGGTACTTACCATTGCAATCTAAATCACTCACAGAAGCTGATTGCTGAAAAAAACAAGAAACTTTGGGAATTTTTTTTATAACCTCCTCCCTTTTCTGTTTACTTTTTCTTTTCATAAATAAAACGCGTAAATATTGCTCTTCGTGTAAAATCTGGTTTCCTTTCACAACGTATAAATCTTTCGCCTTTTACTAAAGATTTCCGTGCAGACGAAGACGTCACAACTTTATAAGCGTTTGGAACTTTACATCACTATACTACCTCAAATTTATGTCATTTTGACGTCAGATAAATAAGAGTTAAGTATTTTACGTAAGAATCTTACGTCAGGAAATAGGTAATTATGAGTCACATAAAACAC